ATAGTGCGATAGCTGGGCCAATTTGGTTCATTAGGAATTTGTTTTCCAGATGCACCTAGTAGTAGCCACTGCTCCATAACACCAACTCAGAATCACTAATTTACAGGTTGATTGCAGGGCTTCCCTGGCAATTTTCAGTTTAACCCTTTAAGGACACATGACATGTGTGACGTCATGATTCCTTTTTATTCCAGAAGTTTGGTCCTTAAGGGGTTAAACCAGCATTTTTTTGACTGAAATACTCAACCAAGGTTCCGAGGCTCATTTTCAGAAGTCCGAACCAAGTCTATTTGGAGGAATCAAACACTTTTGCTATGTGCAAGTCTAATTATTAGTCATAAATTCAGTGGTGTATCCTGGTTTTGTGCTGCCCTAGGCAGGACAAAACTCAGGCACCCCCACCCGCGCAACCGCCACCCAACCTTCCCCCCTGCTCCGCCTTCTAAATACACACACACACATTCACTGACAGATACGCATTCACTAGCTAACAGAAACACACAGTCACTAACAGACACACACTCACTAACAGACACACACACTCACAGGCAAACACACACACACTAACAGACATCCACACTAACAGACATCCACACTAACAGACATACACTAACATTAACAGACACACTAACACTAACAGACACACACACTAACACTAACATACACACACTAACACTAACATACACACTAACAGACACAAACACTAACATACACACACACACTAACATACACACACTAACATACACACACTAACAGACATCGACACACACACACACACACACACACACACTAACATAAACACTAACATACACAAACACTAACATACACACACTAACATACACACACTAACAGACATCCACACACACACACACTAACATACACACACACACACTAACATACACTAACACTAACATACATACACACACTAACATACACACTAACACACACACACATACACACACTAACATACACACTAACATACACACACTAACACACACACACTAACAGACATCCACACACACACTAGCAGACATACACACACACACACTAGCAGACATACACACACTCACTAGTGTTTTTTTTTTTTTTTTTATTTAACCCCCCCCCAGCCTCCTTACCTTTGGTAATGCTGGGGGGGGTTCTTCCTCTCCCTGGGGTCCAGTGGCTGCAGGGCGGGCGGGCGGCCGCCGAGGGAGCTCTTCCCCTGAGCGCTCTGCTCAGCTCCCTCGCGCGCCGCCAGCAGAGTGAGGCTGGGAGCCGGAATATGACGTCATCAACCCGGCTCCCAGCCTCACTCTGCTGGCGGCGCGCGAGGGAGCTGAGCAGAGCGCTCAGGGGAAGAGCTCCCTCGCCGGCCGCCCGCCCAGCGCTGCAGCCACTGCCGCCCAGCGCCCAGAATGTCTGTTAGCCGCGAGGCTAACAAGACATTTGCCTTGGGCATTTGGGCGGCGGCGTTTTTTGCCGCCCCCTGAAAAATGCCGCCCAAGGCAAATGCCTTGTTTGCCTCGCGGCTAATACGCCCCTGCATAAATTATACATCCTTCCTTCTGCTCTAAGAAACCTGAAGCCAGCAGATTCAATAAAAATGCCAATCTGCGGTGTATATAAAGTTGTTAAAACGTTCCCCATAATCTGTCACAAGTTTACTCATCCTGATTTTCCTGAAAGTGAACAGCTTTAAACTTATAAAATTAACTTTTTTAGATATTCCTCAGCATTAATCAATGTACAAATATATTATCCTATTATTGCTTACCTTTCCATTCACTCTATATTATGGTTTAATATATTTTTATACATTGACAGTAAAGGAGTTAATTCCCAGAATGCATCTTTGCAGAAGGCATTCGTGATGCCAAAAGAGAAACATAATATAAATCTGAAATATATGAAATAAATCGTACTCTTGCAAACAAACCTTAAGTAATGCATATCTCTATTTGCTGGATTTAGAAATACTGTTACTGTACCTTAAATATGACCGATCTCTTTTATATGGCCAGTATAATCTGCAATTTGGCTCATGATAGATCGATGTCATTTTCTTAGGCTAGATAAATGAAACATCCATTTTTTAAATTTCTTTTATTTCTTTGTGTTTTTTTTTAAAGAAAGATTTACTTTATTCCTTTGTGGAATCTCCTGGAATGATGATAAATTGCATTTTCGAGTGAAAGTGGCAGTATCAGTGAATAGAATGTGATGCTGTTTACTTGGTTGCCATGGTTACAGGGAGTACCACCCATACACAGTCTTGTCATTGGTTGGATACATTCTAACATATTGAACCACTATAAACGGCGCAGAGGACTGAAGCAATGTAAAGAGGTATCGAATGTCACAGTCTGTGATTTACTCTTACGGCTGCGGTGTTTGTTCGGGGTCTTTAAATTGATCGTGACATTAATGGTCCTAACCTTTGAACTTGACAATATGATTACATAGGTTCTATGTGACATCACCGCGTCACCATCAGGGAACCATATGAAATGCTTACATTTTATACTTAACGTGTATTTAGAGTGGCAGCTCTTGTTCTTGTACTGTAATTTTAAATATAAGCAATTTGTGCTGAATATCCGAGAAATCGAGTTGTTTAAAACATAGCTGATTATAACTACATATTCCTAATCTTGCTGTGCTGGTTTGAATTAAAGCAATATTTTTTCCTGCATAAACCATAAATCAGCATTAGAGGTTTACATTATCTCCTATAGAGACGGAAACTTGGCGTATGAGGAGGTTACAGTCCGTTGGGGAATTTGTCCTTTGCCGCTACATGTGGACGGCCTAATTGACTAAAGCACTATAATTATAATGGGTGCCATACCTTCTGGTTATAGTAAAGAGACAGTAAAGCCACATCGCCTACGTACCTCACTCGCCGGCTGCTAGTAGTGACATCTAGTGGAATGGCAAGATAATGCAGGTTTACTAATTTACAGAGCACTCGCATAGTATGCTATCTTTATGGTATGCTATTTAATGGTCTTCTCTTTATTGGACCATTAAATGTAATCAACATTTTCAAAGAAATATGATTGTTTATCAAGACTGTACATCAAGGCATTGTCATGCCGTATTATAGCAAAACACAAAAAACACCACAAAACTTTTTGTTTTCTTTATATAGTTTAAATGTATTTATCAACTACATATGTGTCCAGTGACTCTCAACGAGTTTTGTAATGAATTATTTAACTGCTGTCTCCCAAGACCACCTTATTACTAATTGGGAAGTCTTTCTTCACGTTTTACTAACATTCTTATTAAAACATACATGAATGAACTCTGATTTCGCACCTGCTCAGTGGTGTACACTCAATAATAATAATAATAATAATAATAATAATAGACTCTTTAAAATAAGAATAAAGTGTTATAAGATGGGGCTGGTATAAGGCCGCAATGCTATGGGCAATGCTATGGGCCTGCGTTTATTTCCAGGGCTGGTTTTTATCCCCAGTCCGGCACTGATATGGTGTGATGTCCCTGTGTTATGCTTGTAAAAAGGTGTGATTTACCTATGTTGTACTTGAAATAAGGTGTGATGTGCCTGTGTTATGCTTGCCATAAGGTGTGATGTGCCTGTGTTATGCTTGCAGTATGGTGACAATCATTCCACTGGCACACCGCCATCGTCACACAAATGTAAATATATATTTATGATTTGAGACTGATAACAGATTCATTAGAGCAAACCCTATCATTGGCATTATTGGGAAGGCACTGGATAAGAAGATTTGCGATTTCATGTGCACTGGCTGATAGTGTACTCCTTGTAGTGATTTCATATAGAGAGGACGGGCTTTGGGTGACTGGCAGGACCTCAGGAACATTCAATTCCTCTTTATTTACGTTTTTATGGGACAGGGAGGATCAGGAAACAAATTATAATGCTAGATTTATTTCTTTAGTTTCCTTTTACATGGTGGGAAACTTTGATCTAAAAAAATTAAGTTTTTGTTTTTTCATGATGGGGAGGGGGTGTGCCGATACAGTTCCTCACCAAGGGCGCTGGAGACCCTAGGTACGCCCCTGCATCTGCTGAAGCTCAGACACTAGGGCATCAGAGCTCTTGAAGGATAAAGGTGATAGGACAGACCTATGGCAGGCGACCTCTGGAGGACATGTCAGTCTAACAGCCATGGTCCAAGTACCTTCAGACACGAGGAGTTGATTATCCACAGAAGATAATCGAAATCTTGATTCTAGAAGGCGTTTCTTCCATAATGTCTTACTCTTACACGCCAATGTAGATTTATGTCACCAGCTTTTATACACCGTAACACAATAATGGAATACAAGACATTGTATGCACTGCTTTGTATTCCATTATTGTGTTTGGGATTGTTTTGTTTGTCTTTGCTTGTTTATATTTCTAATGCTCAGTTCATGGCAAACTTTCAGGAAAGAATTGGCTTGTGCAAAAATAAGAGATCAACTTTAACCCCTTAAGGACACAGGACATGTGTGACATGTCATGATTCCCTTTTATGCCAGAAATTTGGTCCTTAAGGGGTTAAACATTCCGTAAACCTTCTCCGATCTTTTCTTCAGTGCGTGCAGGGCCGGCCTTAGGGGTGTGCGAGCTGTGCGACCGCACAAGGCGCCATGGAACAGGGGGCGCCCTGTGGCCGACACAGCTCACTCATGGCCGGAGTGCAGGGGAGCTAAAAGAGGTACCTGGCTGGAGGATTAATTATTCTCCACCCGGGTCTATTTAAAAAAAAAAAAAAAAAATCGCGGCAGAGGGGGTGGGGTTTACCGAGCGGCGGAGGCGGGGCTTATCGAGAGGCGGAGACGGGGCTAATACCTCCCGAAGCCCCTGCTGTACAGGAAGAGGGAAAGATGCTTCCCCATCAGCCAACTGCATCCACTGGAAAGAGTTAAGTGTGTGTGTGTGACTGTTTGCCTGTTTGTGTGACTGTCTGTGTGTGTGTGTGACTGTCTGTGTGACTGCCTGTCCTTGTGTGTCTGTGTGTGTGTGACTGTCTGTCTCTGTGTGTGTGTGTGTGACTGTCTGTGTGTGACTGCCTGCCTGTGTGTGACTGTCTGTGTGTGTGACTGTCTGTCTGTGTGACTGCCCGTGTGTGAGACTGTCTGTCTGTGTGACTGTCTGTGTGTGTGACTGTCTGTCTGTGTGTGTGACTGCCTGTGTGTGTGACTGCCTGTGTGTGTGACTGCCTGTATGTGTGACTGCCTGCCTGTGTGTGTCTGTCTGTAACTATCTGTCTGTGTGTGACTGCCTGCCTGTGTGTGTGACTTTCTATCTGTGTGACTGCCTGCCTGTGTGTGTATAACTGTCTATGTGTGTGTTACTGTGTGTCTGTCTGTGTGTGTGACTGCCTATGTGACTGTCTGTCTGTGTGTGTCGCTGTGCCATTGTTTGTGCCTGTGCCTGTATGTGTGACTGCCTTTAAGTGAGTGTGTGTGTACATGCCTGTAACCGAGTTTAAATTTCCCCCACCCCTTCCTGTCAAGGCCGCACTTTGACTGACAGACGCTCACTCACTGACAGACGCACACTCACTGACAGACACACTCTCATATACACTGACAAACAATGACATACACACATACACTATTACTTGGACACACACTGACAGATGCACACTCTCACTGACAGACGCAAGCACTCACTGAAAGATGCACGACTCCACTGACCGACACACACTCACTGACCGACACATACACACTCACTCAAGCACTCACTGAAAGATGCACGACTCCACTGACCGACACACTCACTGACCGACACACTCACTGACCGACACACTCACTGACGACACATACACACTCACTGACGACACATACACACTCACTGACGACACATACACACTCACTGACTGACACATACACACTCACTGACTGACACATACACACTCACTGACTGACACATATACACTCACTGACTGACACATATACACTCACTGACCAACACACACATTCACTCACAGACACACACACATTCACTTACAGACACACACAATTACACACTTACAGACACACACAATTACACATTTACAGACACACACACACACACACATTCACTTCAAAATAAACACTCACAGACACACACACAGACATTTCCACTAACACTCACAAACTAATATTTTTTACATTTATTTTAAATCCACCCAGCCTCCCTGGGAAGGCTGGAGTGGATTTCTTACCAGCAGTCCAGTGTGGCTGCTGGGCAGGCAGGCAGGGGGCGCACAGGCTGAGTAAGCAGCGCTTAGTGATGCCGGGAGCCGGACTGACGTCATATTCTGGCTCCAGGCTTCATTAAGCGGCGCAGAGGAAGCTGAGCAGGAAGAGCTCAGGTGAGTATGCTCCTTCGCTGCCCGCTGCCAGCTGCCAGCCTTGGGGGGGCTCAAAAGTGGCCAGCCGGTCAGCTCTTGAGCCCCCCAGGATGCGAGGCAAGCAAGGGATCTGCCTGGGGGTTTGGAGGGATGCTTTTTTTTGCCGCCCCCTGCAAAGTGGAGCCCAAGGCAGATGCCTTGTTTGCCTCGTGATACACACGTCCCCGGTGCCTGTGTGTGTTACTGTATTCAGGCAACTTGGTGGGAGGTGGGGGGGGCGCCGTGAAGACTTTTTGCACAGGGCGCCTAATTGCCTAAGGCCGGCCCTGTGTGTGTATATATATATATATATATATATATATATATATAAATATAAAAATACTTAGTTTGACATTGTGTTTATAAGATGTATATATATATATATATATATACACATATTATATATAGATATAATACATGGGTACAACGGCGACCGGGTGAGTAAATATTTCCGTTATGACGGTTCAGGTCCGTCACTTGTCCTCAAAGGGATTTTTCCGATGACAGTCGTGAAGGGGTTAACTCCTATATGGCAGAGAATTGAGCAATGAAATTGCAGGGGTATGATCTATATACCATAACTGCTTCAGCAAGCTAAAGTGCTTTTAGTGACTATAGTGTCCCTTTAAGGATGCACTAGTTTCATTCCACATTTATTTGGAGTGAAAACATAAATGTTTTCTGATATAGTGATATTCTTTATGAAAGAATAGCAACTTTGTATGTAACTAAAGGGTATTTCTCCTGAAACATTTATGATTTGCATTGCTACTCCAAATACATGTGTGGTATCTTGCGCTGATAATAATTTAATGAAACACAGATGAATCTCAGGCAGCCAATGAGTATGGATCCTTTCAGGGTTATCAACGAATTTAAAAAGTACTTGGAATTCATAGTGAATTTTAAATTTGAGGCCAAAGTGATTAAATGGAAATTCTCCAAGTCAGCTATGCTTCCAGTTTGGCTATTTTGTCCTTAAATTTGAAGTTAACTTTAAAGTCCTACTGTAGTGAATAACCCTGAAAGTTTGTAGCAAATATGTACATATTATTGCCCAGTGGACTACAACAAGGGAGACATAGTCTAACAGCCTGCAGAGCTTTACCCGTTTGCTCCAAAACAATGCACTAACTATACCCCAGCCCTAAAAGGGTTTAAAGGAATATTTGAAGCACCATAACAGTACGCAGCAGTAGTTATGGTGCTAGTAGTGCCCTTGCAGCTTAAATAGTGATAGAAGGAGTTTCCATTAACTCCACTTTTTTAATCTCGCTGGCTGAGATGGTAAGGTGAGCACTCTCAACCAATGACCTAAGCCCTCGAATACTGGTTTAGTTCATTGCAGGAGCTTTGGGGCACAATCTCAAAAAGTTTGACTACTTATCCTGTGAGGGCGGCAGGAAAATTCAGACACCATAACTACAACTGCCCGGTTGTGCTTTGGAAGGTGTATGTGAGATATAATATGGACTGAATCTATAGGAATTTTTTTAACTTAGCAACGGCCCTGGCAATAAAACACATCCAAATAACAAACCAACATCAGTATAACAAGGTAAATTTGAAGAACAGACTTTATTTTTGTAATAAAATGAACAATATATAAAATACATATTTCTAGGAAAACAATGGTGGTTCTGGCATGCTAAGTGTGAATTCTGCAGGTGAAGGCCAGTGAACCTTGCATGTTGTTAATGTGCATTTCACTCTGTATTTTATTTGGCAATGATGAAAATAGCTAAATCATGTTTTTATGCTACCACTAATGTGTTTGTTTCATAAAATGGGTGTGCCTTTTTATCTGAATAAATATTGTTAAAGTTGCCATTAGGAAGTGTGTGAGTGTATGTGAATGTTTGTCTTTGCATAATTGTCTTTGTGTTTGTGCATGAATATGTATGTCTCTTTCTGTATATGAGTATGTGTTGCTTTGTGAATAAAAGTTGGTTGTCATTGCCTTAATTATTTTTTATGTAAATGAATATGCAGGCTTGTCTTTGTGCATTTGTTGCATATGTCCTTTTGTCCGTGGAATAGAAACTTAGAATGTGATGACAGATAATAGCCATTCAGCCCATTTAGTCTCCAATTTTATGAATGCTTTCATTAGTCTCTTGTATCTAGAATAGCCTTATGCCTATCCCACGCATTTTTAAACTCCCTCACTGTGTTAAACTCTACCACTTCACTTGGAAGGCTATTCCATGCATCCACTACACTCTCAGTAAAGTAAAACTTCCAGATATTATTATTAAACCTTTGTCCCTCTAATTTAAGATTGTCCTCTTGTTGTGACTGTTTTCCTTTTAAATATACTCTTCTCTTTTATGGTGTTGTTTCCTTTATATATGTAAATGTTTTTATCATATTCTCCTGTCTCGTCTTTCCTCCAAGTTATACTTTCCTCCGAGCTATACATGTTCAGATACTGTGTGGTTTTTTTTGGGGGGGGGGGTTTACTGAACTTTTTTTTTGGATTCCTGTTCTGACTCTTTATGAATTTGGTCAATTGTTTTTGGCCCCTCAGGTTTGTGTCGTGGTACCCAGTTATTTTTCCTCAGGTCCAGCACATCCTGCACCAAAAATCTAATCCTAGAAGAGGTCTTGTTTTTAATAAAGGTATTAAGCTTGTTGAAATAATTGTCCATGCCAGGCTGTGCATTTTCAAGGTGTTTTCCAACTGATGTCAACAACTGGCAGATGCATTCCATGGACTCCTCGGTGTTCTTATTTAGTAGCTTAATAAGGCAGTCTTTTATGGTGGCTTCTGAGAGTAACTTTAATTTAAATAGCTCCCCAATAAATTTGATGTTTCCAAGGGATCGCCTGAGTGCTCTTTTACAGGCATCACTCAATTCTTCCTTTATTCGAGCCTTTTCATTAGGTGATATAGTTGCCTCCAGTTCCTTCTGAAGTTCTTCAATTCTTTCACCACCTTTTTCACGTCTCTCAAACTCCACCTGGCAGAGCCTTATCAGCAGCCTGCGGAATGTAATGCACACGTCACGATTTTCTTCAGTTGGGACTTCAAGCCTCATTAGCCAGTTGCACATGTTTGCATATATAACAGCAAAATGAGGCTCTGCTACTGCTTTTTCAAATATGAGTTCTGCGACTCCTTTAAGTTGATGCTCTGTGTCTACAGAGAGGTCCTTTACCTGGTGAATTAAGTGCTCGAATGTCTGAGGAGTTATCTTATTCAAGATACCGCGAACTTTCCGAAACAGTTCTTCAGCCTTGACTCTACTGGGATCTTCGGTTGCCCTTTTCATGGGAGGTCTCCAAGCTTTTTCACATTTTTGTAGTTTCACATTCTCATTTAGTTCAAGGATTCGTCGATGTTCTTTAACAGGAGCTTGCGGAGACCTCATTTGATGGATTCCCGGTGGCAATCTGCGATTACCCTTAGAAGGGTAGCAGGAATTTGCAGATTGAGGTGTCCAATTTCTGCGAGTTAATTGTGATGGATCCACTGGCCGAAGGTGAGGTCTAATAACCATGCCTTGGTGGATTTTACAGATTTCAGAAAAGTCCTTTGGTTCCTCCGTGATCGATTTGAATTTTAGTAAGAAATTCCTGTCGTAGGATACCCTTTCTACCTTTGCTTTGATATCCAACTTATCTTGGAGTGAAGGTACTGCAAGATCTTGGCTTTCTGTAATTGGCTTTGGAACCACATCAGCCTTACCAGGTTGTTCTTTTTCTTCTGTTTCTGGCAATCCTTGTTTTTTAGGGTCACAGCTCAGGCTCCTATATAATGCAGGCTGATTATTCTCTATCTCAATTTGCTTCTGCTCAAGAGGGCCCTCTTGCTTAATTAGAAACAACTCCTCATGCTTAACAGTGGGGGAATCCAAGGTCATCTCAGAGGGATAAATCACAGTGGCAGAGTTTACTGGCAGCTCCTCTAACATTTCATTAGTTTGTGGTTTAGCAGGACAAACTGGGACATCAAGAAGAATACTCTGTTCCTGAACTGTGACAGTCTCCAGAGAATCTAGATTAGAAGGCTCAGGATGACAACCTGAAGTGGACTGTGGCAGAATATGAGGTTCGATTGCACAAACATGGCACTCTAGAGAAATGTTGTTGTCTAAACATGTGACAACCTCTGTAGCCTTTAGGGACATAGACTGCAGTGAAGGACCAACTGTGACTGGGTCCTGAGAATCTATATTTGTAGGCTCAGATGGACAACTTAACGTGGACTGTGGCTGATCAAGGTTTACAGTCAACTCATCTGTCAATTCACTTGTATGAGGTTCGATAGTACGAAAAGGGCACTCGAGAGAATTGTTGTCTTCTAAACACAGGACAACCTCTGTAGGTTCTAGAGACATAGACTGCAGCAAATGACAATGACCTGTGACTGGGTTCTGTGAATCTAGATTTGTAGGGTTAGATGAATTGAAAGTGGACTGTGGATGACTAAGGTTCACTGGCATATCCTCTGTCAATCTATTTGTATGAGGTTCGATAGTGCAAACAGGGCATTCTAGAGAATTGTTGTTTTCTAAACATGTGACAACAGCTGTAGGCTCTAGAGACATAGACTGCAGCAAAGGACAAGGAATATCTTCTAGACTTGTGACAGGTTCAGGCTGTAGAATAGTATTCTGTTTATAATACTCAGCAGAATCTTTTTCATTTTCTGGTCCTTTTTTGACCACTTCCTTTTCAGTTGCTATGTTTTGTCTTGGAAGTAATGTAGGCTTTACTTTAGTAAAACGGAATAGGTCCCTGCAATTAAATAGGAAAAGTCAAAATACAATTGTAACAATTCTATCCTTTCCTCCCTTTCCATCCATCAGCCCATTTTTTCACTTATCTTATTCCTCTTCAGCTATCCTCTCACTTTGGTCCGTCAGCCAACCTATCACTTTGTATTTATCAGTTATCGCACAACTATAGTGACACTATTAGATCATTTATATTTAATATAATACATTCTGGTTACAGCAATTTCATTAGTTTATTTGGTACCATAAAAGCTTCTGTTTATTTTACAAAGCATTCATTATGGAAATTAGGTCATCCTTAGTAAGTTACATTGCCATAGTACTTCCCAGTGATTTGTGATGTTGGTTCAGAAAGAGCAGTGACATGTTTCTCTATCTGTGGTTCTACTCTCATTGGTTTTCTGTGTACACAGACAGCCAGTGAGAGAACCAGGGTATTGGCTTACTGAGGACACTGCAGTTTTATTTGTATATATGTATGTATATATGGTCAATCATTCTGTGTTTCATAATACACTTACCTAGGTGGCTGACCACATGTCATTAGTTTGTTGGTTTTTGTTGGAGTCACCCGAATATAGCATGCTACTTCGGGAATCTTCTCCTCTTTTCCATATCTGACATTAATGTTATGTCTAAAGCTTTTGAAGAAAAACACACAAAAAAAAACAAAGGTCAGGCTAATTATTACAGCACCCAGCATAGATGTTAAATCTCATTTTGTTAAAACAAACATCAACAATCCCCCTCCCACCCACCCCCCACTCCTCACCACCCCCCTTTTGATTAATGTGATAATACAGTATTTACCTTCCATCATGCTCTGCAAATTTAGATGTAACAGAAGGGGAAAGGCAAAGTCTCTTTGTGCCTTGTTGGAAACTGTGTAGAATTTCTTCCA